GGGCTTATCAATCAGGTATATTTCCTTGTGGGCCCACAACGGTCCCCTCTGGAACTCACTTAATGGGTTTCGTAGGTGACTACTTCTGCCGTCACCCGACCTGCACGTGCCGCAATTCCTCCTTCTTCATCAGTCCCTATTATTAAGGCCCCACCCCCTGCTTTCAAAAAGATGATCGATAAAGAGATGTAGCAGAAACGTGCGAAGAGTCTATGCTTCCGTTGCGACGAGAAATACAGTCCGGGACATCGTTGTGCTCAGAAATCACTTCAGATTTTATGGGTTCAAGATGAGGTGGAGGAAATTACTTCTGATGTGTCTAATTTGGACAGCACTTCCGAGGACACTGAAATTGCTTCGACTCCAGATTCATCCGTGCTTTGTGTTTCGTCTCTTGTTGGATTGTGTGCGGCTAATTCCCCTAAGGTGCGTGGATGCATTTTGTCATGTGAGGTGGTCATATTTGTAGACTCGGGTGCATCCCACAACTTTATTTCTGAAGCTTTAGTGGAAGAATTGAAATTATCCCGCACTCCTACACACGAGTTTAGAGTTCAGATGGGGAATGGCGATGGGGTAAGAACTTCTGGAGTCTGCCGTCAGGTTTGCCTCAACTTACCCGAATTGGATGTCATTGCTGATTTCTTTCCTTTAAAGTTGGGCTCTACGGATGTCATTCTGGGTTTTCCTTGGTTAGCATCCCTCAGGGACTCCGTGATGAATTGGGGCAACATGTCTATGAAGCTCAATTTGGGAGGTGTCCGTGTGAAATTGCAGGACGACCCTTCTCTCTGTTCCTCTCAGGTATCTTTGCATGCTATGATGCGTAACTTACAACATGAGGGACAAGGGGATTCTTCGTTGAACTCTGTCTTGCCTACATCCCTGCCAATTTCCGCTTTACTAGATGAGTTCAAAGATGTTTTTGATATGCCTACGGGCTTACCCCCTACTCGGGCTACGGAGCATGCAATTGTCTTGCAGGAGGGCACTTCCCCTATCTCTATTCATCCTTACAGATACCCTCAGTTCCAGAAAGTGAAATTGAACGCCTTGTCTCTGAGATGCTAGTTACGGGTATTATTCAGCCAAGTACAAGCCCCTACTCGAGCCCGGTCCTTTTAGTCAAGAAAAAAGACGGAAGTTGGCGTTTTTGTGTGGATTACAGAGCCCTTAACCGAGCTACGGTTCCGGATAAGTTCCCCATTCCGGTTATCG